CCCTGTCCCTGAAATGAAAGTTCATTCCAATGGTCAAGGGTGGCCGAGCACCTGCCTCTCCCAACATGGTACCCATCAGTAGTAGAGGGAAAACCCCGCCCCTCCCTTGCCCTTCTCTACCTACCGAATCACCCATATCCTCCCCTCCTTCCTTTCCCATCAGTTTCTTACCGTTCCCCTGAATCCAACATCGTCATTTAAAAGTGTTTTAAGTTGAAAAACACTCACTACTTTACATCACTTTTAGATTTGGATTGCCATCGGTCAGAGGTGTACGACGGGTTGCCTACCCCCAAAGGGGAACGGGACGCGGTTACCTGGTTGTAGCGTCTTTACCGCTCAAAGAAAGCCGTGGGGCTTCCTTGAGATACTAGCAGTAAACAGTTTAGAAAATACGGGACAATATTAATTGCCTTTGATTAGGTAGAGACTACTAACCTAACGCCAGTAGTGGTACAGTAAATTTGGTCTATACCAGCACCTTCAATGTATACTAATTTGTACGCATGCCGCCATCGGATTCGCTTCGAACCCCACCGCAGCGGTCGCCGCAAGTTTCACAATGCGCTTGATTTTCACTTGAGCATTGCTCGAAACGAAACCCTTTTGTTCGTCCTCGCAATCGCGGGTGCAGGCGGCGGCGACGCGAGCTGCTGAGCTGCAGGGTGCAGGCAGGCCGCGTGTTGCAGCCGTCTCTGCGGGGGAAGCCAGTCGTTTGGCACCGGGCGCCCCTCTCATGTTCTATATATTTCGGCCTTGCCTTGACCTTTCTCACTTTCCGCCAACAGTGGCCCTGCTTTTAGAAAACGACATTTTGGCTGCATTGTCCCCCTCAAACGCCCCAATCATCACTCTCTCTAAACCTTCCTCCCCGGTGAAAGCTATGGGACCCACCCGGGGGGGACGTGAGGGGGGGGGGAGAGAAAGTGACCCTCCCCCCCGTCCCACCGGCTGGTCCCGCCGTGCAGGGGTGGGTAGGGGTGGGGGTGCTGGAGCGGGGCTAGAGCGTGCGGCGGTTGGGGCGCTGATTGGCTGCGAACGGTTGCGGGTACGGGTGTCCCTAAGAGGGGCTTGCGGATATTTTAGCGAGTGGGAGGGGGGAAGGGGGAAGCAAGGGGGTTGGGCTGACCTTGTGTCGCCTTCTGCAGCGAGAGAGGGACTCGCAGAGGAGAGGGAGGATCGATGGTAGCCTCGAACCCCAACCCCAACCCCAACCCGGCGCGGC